CAACTATATATCCAAACCCACAAGGAATATGTTCTTGAGTTTTGTACATAAAACTATCTTGAGTTTCTTGATTATTGCGTTCAGTATTTTCCATAGGTTTGATAAGCGCTTCGAAGTCGTCTTAAATTACGTACGGTACTGGCATTTAATTACAATAATGTTCAAATTTTAATATATTTCTCCCCTTTTTAGGCATATCAATCCTGATAGCATTCTGTCCAACACCACTGCAGTCTTCTTTATGCGCTTCTAAAAGATCTTGCCTGCTGTATCCATGCCGGCATCTTTCTCAGAAATATTTCTTTCTAGCATGTTTTGTTTGATCGTATAATAGCCCCTTTAAACTCTTTATCCACGTATAATGATATTTACCATCTTTTTCAATTAGAAATGAATTGATTCTGGGAATATGTTCTGGATCGGAGCTTATCCTGTGTACAACAATTCCTTTAGAAGAATGTCCGAAAACATTTATAGCTAAATTATTTTGCTTTTTTGCCTTATCAATTTGTGAGATTGGTGTAGGTTCGTCTATACCATCAAGGTTGAGTCCATGGTTTGGGGGATAGCTCGAAGACCTATCCGGATGTTTGTCTACGGGGAACAATGCAGATCTTATCATCATTCTGATAAAGTCATCGCCTTTATTTTTTACATTAATTATGGCTTTTTTCTTCTTATAATACGGGGGTAAATCTATATAATATCCACCTTTGAAAGGCATATAATTTGCTATATCTAAATATAAACTATCGATTTTATCCACACCCAAACCCGAACCTCTATTAGTCCAGCGTTCTAAAGATTCTTGTATCCTCTGAACTGATGTATCTAATGATGTGCTTATAGTATCGGATTCAGTTATAACTTCTTGATTGCTCCGGAAATATGGTTCGGTATATTCAGTGCTATCGTCTGTGTTACTTTTACTCAATGACATTTTAATCATCAGCTGGTATTTTATACTATGTAAATCATCTAATTCCTCGTTAATTTTGCCTGATATGATGGGCTTAACATCATTAACATCCATGTTGGAATTAATATCCATCTTCCAACCTCTTAGATATTTACCAACGCCGGCTGTGGGTACAAATTTTAACTCATCAACAGTGGGTTTATCAACATCATCGGATTTATTATTATCTAGTAAAGCGATCAATTCAGCTTTTCTCATTCGAGAATAACCTCTTAGCCAACTGTTTTTCACTTGAGCTTTGAGTTCTCTAACAGTCTGGGGTTTGTTGTATTCCAAACCGAGTAAATCAATCAATTCAGCTTTTCTCAATCGAGAATATCCATGTAGACCACGTTGTGTTGCCAAAGCCTTCAACTCTCTGACAAAAACCATTGTGATTTAATGGTATATACAAAATGATTCAAATGTCTAAATGGTTGTTTTTCATATATAAATACGTATTCTCCCCAACCTATTCCTCTCATTGATGTAATCTCTCTTCCTAGGTAAATAATCTGCTTCCTGACCTTATCAGCACCGTGACTCTTACATAAACAGTGACTACCTTTGACCCCAATCCCACATACAGAACAAACATAATTTTTAAAACCCTTTCCGATGTTATAAGAGTGGGTACCACAGTAAATACCAACAGATGGCTTCTGACATTGAATCGATTTCCCCATGAGTGTATATTTGCACAGATTCATGGTTATACATCTATCATATCCTTTGTCTAAAAGGTAAATCACATCTCCACTGGTGAGTCATAGCTGTCATCGCTATTTATAGATTAGCAGTCAGTGTTATTTATAGATTAGCAGTCAGGGTTATTTATAGATTAGCAGTCAGGGTGACATAGCTGACATAGTGTGTTTACAGGTCATAGTGGTTGATAAGACTCACCCTGACTAGTATGTTTACAGGTCATAGTGGTTGATAAGACTCACCCGGACTAGTATGTTTACAGGTCATGGTTTATGAGTAGTTATTGTATAACTGAAAATTACAATGACTGATAACCCAAATATTATGAATGCTATATGTGAATTTAATATTTTTGTTTGTGCAATGATAATACCATCCATGTCATTATATGCAGTTCATCTCATAGTATCTCAACCCTAACGCCTTTACTTTACCACTCACCACTGGTATATTTAATTGTATCCTTTGCCATGTGCTCGTACCGCAGTTTGTTTACACTACCACTTCCGGTGGTCTCGCTCTCAGCGAATCTCTTAAATTGTTATAATGTTTTTTATCACTCTTGTCTGGCCAATTGACCTTGTTTTAGTATTATTCTCCCATAGCCGTGTTATCGTAAACCAACATCCATGTAGATTAATTTCATATATACTCCCATGATATCTTTCACTACCGGGCATGCGCAGTGTGAAGGAATGACGTCACATGTGTATTTATGTAAATTCCTTTCAGGTTCCATCTTGCCGTTTAACCATTGTTCTGTCAAGTCAATTTGGTAACACCACCATTCGACTTCTTATCCATCTGCAATCTTCATCCCTGTCAGCAGAGGGATTCTTTACAGCCTTATGCTTTGAAATGGCTGACAGGACTACCAGACGTCGCGGCAGATCTGCTAGTCTCAACACAAGTACTGCTAGGGTTAACGAGGCGACCCTTGACCCAAACCAAGATGGCGACCACCGCAGCATGCCCAGAACTAGGAATGCCCCTTATCTCACTATAGCTGACCTTCGACTTCGTCTCGCCAGTCGAGGTGTCAGCGTGCCTGCATCGTGGAACAGACGGCGGCAACAATGCAGTTTACCGGGCGCAGCCCGAGCTCTACCATCCGCTCAATTACCGCGCTATAGTGCCACCGCTGTCTCGTTATACCGTTACCATGCCTCACGCTCTGGTGACTCTCGCTTCACGCTTTCGGTCTTAGGGAAACTTACACATCTTTACAATCAAACACCCGTTTTTCGGTCTTAGGGAAACTTACACATCTTTACGATCAAACACCCGTTTTTCGGTCTTAGGGAAACTTACATGTCTTTACGATCCAACACCCGTTTTCGGTCTTAAGGAAACTTACACGTCTTTACGATCCAAAACCCCTTTTCGGTCATTAGGGTCAGCTGGCTTTGGGCAAGGGTTAGCCAGAAATTCTTACCTTTTCAAGCGTTAATCCAGTTAATCCCATTGGTCGGTCATGTTGACATAAACAATTGCGGGTGTGGTTTCAAGAAAAGATGAATGGGAAGGTGGGCAGTGACGTCACATGCATGCACAATTCATTGTTTACTGAATTACGCATGCATGTCAATGGGGATTCTAATGACCTGTTAGACGAGCACTGATTACATGTGATAGCGCCTGTGGTCCAGTGGTAGGGCGTCGGCTAATTAATGCATTAATTAGCAGAGCTGGTGAGCCGGCGAAGCACGTTCGAGCCCCCACAGCGCTAATTGGATCTGAAAAAGTGCGCCCGGTAAAGTGCACTACTCCCCAGACGGCTGCTGTTCCAGCTGTATACTGAAAACAACCGAGGGAATTCCATGTCACATCCCATAACCATGATAACAGAGATGACAAACACCAGGGCTTCCGTTTCCGAGTGTCAACAAGACTTGCCGAGCAGCAATCACAACACTAACCCGCCGGGTACCATTACCAGTTCATCAGTCTATCCAACAACTCCCCAGCCTGATGTATCTAGCTTGACAGATTCAGTCCCTGTGATCCCCTCGGTGTCTGGATTGCAAAAGGAAATTGCCGAACTTAGACAACTGATCACAACCACAGGGCTCAGCGCGATACCTCTACTAGGCCACCCTACATCGAATACCCTGAGTGGTATCGAGACTTCTCTCCTGACCCCCGCTAGCAACTCAACAGAGGTTCCATCAGACTCCTTACCTCATATCCAGACAGTGTCCCCCACCTTAAGGAAAAAGATCCAGGAAGGTAAATATGTTAATTTGGCTTTGTTGACATTACCTAACCAGGACAGTTTGGATACTAGAGTAACTGAATTCGAGGGGAATATATACTCGCTCAAAGATGACCCCAGGCTGAATAGGACACTGACACTCGGAGAGTTTATCAAGGCATTCGGTATTTACAAAGACATTTGTTGTGAGAACAATGATGCCAAAAGGAAACAGCTAGATGGCCACGAGCAGACTGTGATCGAACTTGCTACTCTGTACGGCGGGACATGAGAGACTCAAAACTCTACAGCCTGTGTTCCTCAGGGCGACGTACCAGGACGTGTTTAGTGTGTCAAAGTGTAACCCACGGCACCGACGTTTGCCCGAGTATAGCTACAGCTCGCCGACCAATTGTCAGGCCTCAAGACAGACAGGTTCCATATGACCGACAAAACGTGGACAGTAATGCCACGCACATAGACTCAAGAGGTAGACCTCGCGTTCGACGTGATGGACAAGAGATCTGTAACAACTTTAATGATACCGGCTGCAGCCGCCAACAGTGTCCTTTCATACATACCTGCCTCATTTGCCACTCAAGAAAGCACGGCAAGACACAGTGCCAGAAAGCGCAGAAAGATTGACTACACTATGCCTTAGACAGAGCAAGTACTAAGCAGACATTGACGCTAACACCTATTAACATTGAGAGATTAAAAGCGGACTTACAATTCCACCCAGACAAGTGTTTCTTCGATTATCTCATTTCTGGCCTGGAGACCGGATTCAATCCAATGTTAGACTCTATGCCCAAATAGACAGTGGAATGCCGCAACAACCTTAGTGCCAGGAGAAATCCAGTGGATGTGTCCACAGCTGTCAGGAAAGAATGTGCCAAGCAGTACGTTATCAGGCCTTTCCCGGAGTCTCCCTATGACACACACAGGGTTAGTCCACTTGGACTTGCCGAGGGGAAATACATTCGGAAGAAACGTTTGATATTGGACTTATCGGCCCCCAATGATGACGATACCGTCCCTAGCATCAACCAACTAATCGACAGGACATCCTGTTCTCTTTCCTACGTAACACTTGATCATGCCATTTCTATCATTATTCAGCTCGGAAGAGGGGCCCTCATGTGTAAGGCAGATATAACTGACGCCTTCAAGCAGATTCCATTAAGCCTTGAATACTGGCCATATTTCGGGTTCAAGTGGGAAGGACTGTACTATTTCTACACCCGGCTAGCCTTCGGTTGCCGATCTAGCCCCAAAATATTTGACCCTCTTTCCCAGGCCATTTGCTGGATTCTGAAACACAATCATGATTTCCTTCATGTGCTACACCTGCTGGACGACTTCCTAGTCATTGACCCTCCAGGCCACGACGCTGAATCGACCATGAGCACTATACTGTCTCTCTTCAAGAGACTCAACATTCCACTAGCTCTCCATAAGACACAGGGACCCCTTACAGAGATCGAGTATTTAGGCATCATTCTTGACTCAAATCTTATGACTGCTAGGTTACCTCAAGATAAACTGCAACGCATAGCAGAGCTCCTTGGCAGATACTCCACAAAGAGAAGTTGCACCAAGAGAGAACTTCTCTCCCTGCTCGAACACTTGAACTATGCTTGCAGAGTGATCGTGCCAGGCAGGACGTTTGTCTCCTACTTGATCGAACTTTCCATGTTAGCTTGTCAGGCGATTGTAGAAAAGATTTAGCTATGTGGAACAAGTTCTTGATAGAATGGAATGGTATTTCCCTCTTCCACGACCTCCACATCTCACCTACCCCAGACATTGAGCTTTTCACTGATGTGGCGGCTACAGTGGGGCATGGGGGCTACTACCAAGGGTAGATATAAATGTAAAGGTATCATGTCCCTCATGCACCGACTCACTTGGACAGCAGCAGTCAACAACTTTGTGGTATTGGCCCATCACATACCTGGCTCAGATAACAACATTGCTGATTCACTATCTCGTTTGCAGATTACCAAGTTCCAAGCCCTGGCGCCACATGCTCAACCACACCCACTCCAGTGCCCCCCCAGCTCGCAAGTAATGTGGCCCTGAATGCGCATCTCAACAGACTGTGGTCCGCAGACGTCAGCAAGGGTACTCAGACCGCCTATTCGACTGGTATGACCTGTTATACAAAGTTCTTGCTGACTTTCGGACTGTTTCAAACCATGTTCTATCACAGACTCCCTCCCGTAAGGTATATTTACAGTACTTCATTGCCCATTGTTATGGCGTGCTGCAGTTGAAAAATGTCACTGTTAAGACCTACCTAGCTGGCGTGAGGTTCTTTTACCTGCAACGTGGCATTACCACAATATTCGACTATCGTGGATCTGGGGCGTTGAACAGACTGCAGTCCATCATGAGAGGTTACAAGAAGTTGCAAGCTCCTACTCCAAGAAAACAACTTCCCATCACCTTCACAGTGTTGGCGCGAATCGTGTGTACACTGCGTGCAGGAGTACTTGGACCGTTAAATGACCTTGTAATGGAATGCATGTGCTTAACTGCCTTCTTCGGGTTTCTCAGATGTGGAGAAATCACGTGTGCTGCCAGGTTTGATCCCAGTGCTAATATTTGTTTGAGTGACATCAAGTTTGACTTCGCTAAGAGAAAGTGCACTATCCTGCTGAAAGCTTCCAAGACGGATCCATTTCGAGTAGGCGTCCCCATAATATTGTTTTCTAATAGTCGCTTGTGCCCGTTCTCAAGTTTGAGGAAGCTCTTCTATACCAGAACTCTTCAGCAAGCTTCTAGTGAGGATGCACTATTTGTGGATGCTCAACACACGGGCATTGTTTCTGTCCTGGCTCAGCAGAGTGCTGACTAGGGCCTGTTTTAACTCAAACGATTATAGTGGGCACTCGTTCCGTATCGGTGCTGCCACCACCGCAGCTAGCGCCCGGGTGGAGGACCACCTAATTAAGACTATGGGCCGCTGGAATTAAGACTGTTTCCAGAGATATATTAGAACTTCAGAAGAGACTCTGCTTCACGCACAGCGGTCGTTATGTGGACCCTAATCTACAATACAGATTCTGTGCCATATTCGTATTAGTTCGCAGTTATCAGGTTTCGTGATCATGTATCTTACTCATCTTTGGGGGCACTCGGTCGTACACAACCTCGTCTCAAGCCATTGCATGCCTCAGGCAGCAGCATTACATGGTTTGGGGCCCCCAAAAATTCCTTACCTACCTGGTCCGGCGCAGGCACCAGTTCACATTCCATACCCGCAGGGTACCCCTATCATTCAATCTAATAATAATAATAATCTGCTCCTTTTCTTCAACACCTCTCTCCACCTCTCTACTGTGATCCTTAGCAGGCCAGCACGGCCCTAGAACTAACCCCCGTCCGCAGGACATTCCGTGGGCGACCGAGCAGCCCCCTTGTATATAGCATATATATCCCAATGTGTATTAAATTATATTGTTTCCTTTACCCTTTGTCGTGTTTTCATTGCACAAACTCTCTGTTTTTTTGTTCCTCTGATGCTGTATAAAACTGACTTATTGTTGGTCTCTGTATTGGGTCAAGTTTCTTTCCATAAACAAGGAAGTATTCGTGCATGGCAGATTCAACATCCTTAAACGTTTGAATTGAATGTCCTTGCTTACGTAGTTCTTCATTAATAAAATCTAATCTTAATATCCTATTTCTGGTCCATTGTGACTGGGCTGCTTCGAGTTGTTCTAATGCTTTATTATGTCATTTACGCTCCTCTTCAACTTCTTTAGCGTTTGATTCCCTCAGATTAGAAAATAAATAATTACTCCCCGAAAAAGCTAGAGCATTAACAATAGCTCCACCGACCATCATCGCAATTGTTGCCATTTTCAATAATATAAAATATTCAAATGTTTAATTACTTCATTATGTCTTTCAGGATAAGCCCTTGTTTGATTAGCATATCTTTTGTAGCCATTGCCAATCCAATATCAAGAATCATCATACCGATATCATAACCATTAAAATCTAGCTTGGGTGGTGTGGCTTTAGTAAACATTTTAGCCATACGGGCATAGCCAATGGCCAAGCAGCTGACCACCGCTGAATGATACGTTGCGTTAAACAACATTTTACCCTCTGTAACTGGAGTAGTCATTATAACATTATATGGGGGCTAACCTCTAATTAAACTTCTTGTTGTGTAATCGGGGGTGACGTTTACACTTCTCTGGTCTTATAAAACAACCATACCACCGCTATAGCAACAACTCCTAGTGCATATGTTCAATATTTGACCTTGTGGACCTTTGCCGACTTCCTTGCTAACCCAACCTTTTTACCAGCGGCGACTTTCAAAGGATTCTTTGGCACTCTGGCTTGTGATTTCGGAATTGCTGGTATTTCCTCATTCACTTGTTGTGATTGTGTTTTCACAATCTGTTGTGATTGTGCAATCGGGGTTATTTCCTCGTTCACTTGTTGTGAATGTGTCTCCACAATCTGTTGTGGTGTCACTTGAGTCTCCATTATTAGTAAGTGGGCATTTATGTTTAAATTGACAATACCTAGCCGTTATTAAAGCGGTGGTTTCCGGAGCTAAGAACATTCTGTATCTATGATAAAACTCACAGCTCACTGCGCTGATAGCGTGTTCGATGAATGGGTCTTTGCATAAATACATGCGATGTTCTGCCGGGATAGGGAGAAACGTACTAGCTATGACTGTGTATAGTTGTAACAGAGCCGACCCTATTGTTTTAGTCATGGTAGCTCCCAGTCTAGACTCGTAACACGCGTACAGTTTTTTAATTTCTTCATCGGTCATGTTATCAATTCTTTTGATGGTATAATTTTCCCCCAAATATTGGGAACATTTTCCAAAGCCACAAGTCTTTCTCTATGTTTATCTCAAGATTTATCTGTATGTTCTTCTGCATGTTGATCTGGTTCTTTGAGCATTTGTTCGATGAGTTCATCGCATTCCATAATGTAATACCTAAGGAGATATTTAAGTCTAACATAATAAAATATGGCATATCAAATACAGCCCATAATAATAAACTGTTGCGAAAAATGAGGATTTCAAGCCACAATAATACATAATAACTGCTAATATTCAATTTATCGTATTTTTGCTATATTTTTTTGCTTAGCAGTTGCTATTTTTGCTATAATTTTGCTAAGCAGTTGCTATTTTTGCTATAATTTTGCTTAGCAGTTGCTTTTTTTGCTATAATTTTGCTAAGCAATTGCATAAGAAGCTGGTTGATTGGTTTTTAATATGAGTTTACAATGCTTCGTTGAAGCTTAAAGTTTTCTGACTTTATCCCTCCGACATTTTCGCGTAGACATTCCTCAAATGAATCTCGGTCACACGGGCATTGTTTCTGTCCTGGCTCAGCAGAGTGCTGACTAGGGCCGGTTTTAACTCAAACGATTATAGTGGGCACTCGTTCCGTATAGGTGCTGCCACCACCGCAGCTAGCGCCCGGGTGGAGGACCACCTAATTAAGACTATGGGCCGCTGGAATTAAGACTGTTTCCAGAGATATATTAGAACTTCAGAAGAGACTCTGCTTCACGCACAGCGGTCGTTATGTGGACCCTAATCTACAATACAGATTCTGTGCCATATTCGTATTAGTTCGCAGTTATCAGGTTTCGTGATCATGTATCTTACTCATCTTTGGGGGCACTCGGTCGTACACAACCTCGTTTGGGCGTCTCAAGCCATTGCATGCCTCAGGCAGCAGCCTTACATGGCTTGGGGCCCCAAAAATTCCTTACCTACCTGGTCCGGCCCAGCAAATGAATCTCGGTCTTTGCAATGAAACAGGGCTACCCATTTGGTCTGCTCTCCGAGATCTTTCAGGACAGAGTTGTATTTTTTAGTAAGTACCCAAACGCTATGCTGAGTATGTCGACCGTAGAATGCTAAATATGAAAGCATATCTTTCTTTTTGGTAAGTTCTTTACTCGAACAGCAATTGTCTATTATGAAAAGGGTTGATTCTCCTTTGAATTTTTCGTGGCATACTCGTAAACAGTCTTGTAAACGATCGCCCGGATCAACTCTGTACACCCCGGGATAATTCATTACCCAATCTTTCGCTAGGTATGTTTTATTAATGCTTATAGTCGGACACAGAATAATAATATGATCGAAAACGCCTTGATAATGACTTTGTAAAATATCTAGAATAAAAGCTGTTTTTTCGCAACCTGTTTGCCTGCAGTTGATAGTGCAGTGCAGGTAACAGATTATTAATAGATCGCTTGCACGAATCGTCCATTCTGTATATTAAGTTGCGCGTCCATAATCACATACAAATATATGTTTAATTTACCAGCCGAATCCTGGTGCTTCGTTATCTGTGTAGTAACACCCTCACTAGCATTTTCTATTCTCCGCCCACTGCCGTGTAGTTGGTCATGGTCCGTTGTTCGCATGTTGAGCCACAGCACATACATCGTGGTAAGGAATTCAGCCATCGATACACCCCCGAGAGACAGATCTTTCACGACCGCGTTAACTTCTGGGCTTCGTTTTATAGAAGGGAGTTTTTTAATCTCATCCCACTGTTGATATGCTTGCATACCCTGACTATATAGTTGATTAGGCATGCCCTCGATAGTCAATTCTACTTTTGTAATCTTGGGATTGTAGAACGCCTCGGTATCTCTTGCAAATGCTTCAGAGGGGTCCTCGAACAACATTCAAATACCCTTCAACGTTCTTGCGGGAACGTTTAGATTGATATTCCACGTCGTATCTCTTTTGTTCCTCATGATCTTTCGATGTCGAAGCATGCGATCGTACAAGATAGCTAAACTTCCAGTATACTGGTTACGAATTTGTCTGGCTAATTCAGGATCTGTTATCATATCATACTCCAGTGAGATATTGTCAATAGAATAGCTACTAGGATCTTCAGTAGCTTTGATTACTCTGCTGTAGTCATTAAAAGTGAGTTCATATTCTAACCTATCACCTAGGGGTGCTTGATAGAACGGCATGTGACTACCGGGTATCTTGTAATTCAAAGTCTAGTGGAATATAGAATCGGTTACCTAATGCATCAGCAACAGCCTTATCTCCTACGACGGTATTATCGCCACTATCAGCACCTCGTCAATACTCAAAACTTCATTACCGCTAATTTTAATCGCGATTTTCTTAACAATCGCACGACCTATGTTCTGAATGATCTCTCTGTTAACGTTGGTAGAAGTCAAACTAATTGTAAATGATAGTCGTGCAGTTCCCGGAACTAACACATCATGTGCGCATAGATTAGGAAAGCGAACCAGAACCGTTTGATTCTGATCGATGGTACTCGGGTTATTAGTTATAGTTACAGACTGACGAATTGCTTTGAACCCTAATGGATCCCGAAGTCTACGTTGTGGGTTTAACTTGCGTCCGTATTGCGAAGACATTGTTATATTGAAATTATGTAACCTTATGTTTAATATAAAAATGGATGATATTAATCTAGATAACATAACTGATACTAGTACAATCGAAGAGGGTACTGCCGAAACCAGCTTAACGAATGTTAACGATGAACTTTTGAAACCAGCCGTTAATGATTATTACGATGCCTTAAAAGATGATAAAAAATATGTTAGCCCAACTGGTCGTGACTATTCAAAGTTTACGATAGACAGTAAAGGAATATTGCAACTGAGTGGCTCTCCGGATATTCATCTTAGGCATTCTCATACTCGTAAGCCCCTAGCCTTGTCTAAGATAACTAGTAAACACGGCATCAACATTGTTCGTAATGAATTAGGTTTTGTAGACTACTAAGGTTCTTCAGAGTGTGCGTGCTGAACTCGGTAACATAGATAAAGATAATTTGGAAGAAAGCTCGA